AATAATAATTGTGCAAAAGAAAAAATAAGACGAAGTAAATAAAAATTTAGGTCGTAGAAGAAGAAATGTTGTCTTCTTCTACGACTTCTTAGAAGAAAATTTCTTCTTCTATTACCCTTTTTTTTTGTCTTATTCAAAACAAAAAGGCAGTAGAAGAAGAAAACAAGAAGAATAATTTCCAGTCGGCTTTTTAAATCTGGTAGGTGGAGTATAGTTAATAATAAATAGATGTTAGTTCAGCTGATATTTTGCTAAGGTAAAGAAATAATAATCCATGTGGATAATTAGTAACCAGATTGTTAAAACTAAACTGAGGCGCGTTATTTTAAAACTGTAAACAAAGTAGTTTTTTTTTTTTTTTTTTTAGCTAAACGCAGGCCTTAATAACAGCGAAATAAATAACTCTAAATTCGTTTTAACTCTTTTGTGTTGAACTTTTATAACGATTCGTTTAACTGAGTTACTAAAAAAAAAACTTTTAAAGGTTGGGAAACTCACGCCAACATGCGCTCCACCTCCGCCCTCTGCTCCGCGGCCTCCTCGGTGTTCAGCGACTGGAGCTCCTTCAGGATCGGCGGGGTGTCGTAGTCGTCCCCGTCCTCGGAGCCCTCGTCGCCGGACAGCTTGCCCTTGCTGTGGCCGTTGGTGAGCGTGTGGAAGACGGGCTTGGAGTCTCCGTCCGAGCCGTTCGCCTTGGCGCCGTGGAGGGGAGCGGAGCCGGCCACCGCCGCGGCGGCGGGCGACATGGGCAGGCTCTCCAGCTTCACTCCGTGGAAGCTCGGCGTGCTCGGGTCCATGTCGTCCAGGGCCTGGATCAGAACATCTCTGGTGAGTCCTGAGTCCAGCAGGGCGCTGAGGAGCTCCTGCTGCAGGGACGTCAGTTTCGATACCATTTTAGAGAACATTAAAAACACAACATAAAGCCTGGTGGAAGGGGAGGTTGAACAGGGGGGTAAAAAAAAAAAACCGAATAAGTTTAAAAATAAAAGTCCTCTTCCTTTTGGATCCGGAGCTGGGCAGAACGTGTTGGCTGCGACACCTGCTCCACTTCACTTCCCTGTTGGAGGGGAGGATGGAGCTACTTTTGCCATGATGCTTTCTGAGAGCAGGGGGATATAAAAGATGGTAATGAGTGGGCCGGCTGATGTAAATCCGCAGAGGTAGACCTGTTTACACTGCTGCTTTTATTGGCTCCTCTTATCGGAACAACTTCCATGGACTTCGGACCCTGTTGTAGGCCATAAAGTCTTTAAAGAAAGGCGAGCTGAACAGTTTCACAGAGCTGCTTTCAGTCCATATAAGCACCGATACGAGGCCAAGGCTGGGGCTCAAAACAACTCTGTCAAAAAATGTCCTTTATTTAAAAGTTTAAAGACAGTGTAATAGCCTAATTAAAAGCTATAGGTGTGAATGTTCAACTAATTTATTTAACATTCTCATTTTACTCAAATTTAATCAGCAGTTTTTCCAACTTTACTGAATTTAAAGGAGGGTTTATTCTAATTTAAATAATCTAATCAGTGACAACTAAGAAATCCTTAAAAATGCGTTGTTTATAAGCTTGACTTTTCTCATATTATTCAAATAACATGACATAAGATAAATTATTTATGTACATTATGTCATTTGTTTCAGTAAAAATACACATTTAGAAAATACACATGGTAAATCAACAGAGTTATAAATTTTATCTTTATAAAATGACACAAAATTGATCTAAGTGACTATAAATGTGTTTTATCATCTTCAGGAGCCAAACCAATCACTAATCATTTGTGATAAGATCAGTAAAGGTTGCTGTTTAACTGCCTCTTTGACAACAATAAAAAAAACCCAACTATTAATAAATTTCAAATTACATTATTTATTTATTTTTTGTTCTTTCAGGTCAGATTCAGTATTATCATTATGCAGGATTCAGCTGCAGAAATAATTGAAAGGATAGATATTAAATGAAATGCACAAAATGAGATAATTTTTTTTAATTGTTGGGAAAATGTGTCGTCTGTGTCTCTGTTCTACGATGTGGTTTAATGTTTTAAGAGCAAACGTACCAGAAACCTGCAACACGTCTCGGATCTTTGCAGAAACTATCACGTTTAACTCGCTGCAGCGTAATTTGTCTTCGGTTTCGAATGGAGTTTTGGTGACGGGTAAAAGAAAAAGTTGAACAGAAATAAATGCGTCTTTTATAAATGAGCTAAAACGTTTCATTTTAGTGCTGCAGTGTATAGAAATGTATTCTTAGATGCCAAAAAACGTGATACAGTAACTTATTTAAAGGCTCAGAGGTGATGGAAATTTAGGCCATAAATCAGCGTCTGAATTTTGAACAGTGTCATTTTAAACACTTTAATCTGGAGCTGACAATGAAAATAATGCAAATTTTCTAATTAAAAATTGGGCTGCATATTATTATTTTCTTCCTTTATTACATTAATCACTCCATAAATAAGTGAAAATGTAAGAGACGGATCTCTGAAAAGTCATTTTCTCCTTCTAATATATCAGTGCTAAATTTTTAAAATCAATGTATTTAATGTAATCATCTGCATAAAGTGGTAAGATGCAGAAAAGAAATGTTTATTTAGAGCCTCAAAACTGACCTTGGAGCCGTTTTTATGATATTTTCTGCATGAATCTGTCCTTTCAGTTACACAAACAGAAATTTGTGATTTTCTGACAATCAAAATATTTCTGTAGATTTTTTTTTCTTTTCCAACCTGTGCAAAAAAAAAAAAATGTTACCAGAGCAGACAAATAATAACCTCGACTTCGGCTGCAAACATAAACAGAACCGGCTGACCTCTGTGAATACAACAAGAGTTTGAGCCAATTATTGGTCAGACATCATCTGTCAGTGTAGTATCAATGTGGTTGATCATTAGTAATATGCCTTGAGCTTATTAATTTTTTAAATATCCCTCAAAATCCAGAAACGAGGTCAAACCTCCACCTGTAAGGTTTGAGCGCAGGCAGCGGCAGACGGCCTCTGCAGGAATGTTAATTGTTTTATTACAGTGATGATTTTATTAATGGAACGTTTTGTTCTTGTGTAATTTCACTGCTGTTTCTCTCACCTGCTGCTGTGGTGTCATTACGCAGATTACACGCTCCCTTATCACCGGCTACTATTGCCGTATGTTTCCCTGAGATGCACACCTCAGATGCCCTTGGCTTCATGGTGTAAAGTGCCGGTCTCTGTGTTGTGTGTGGGTGAAGGCAATAACCCAGTGGAAAGCGATAAATTACAGGCTGTGCAGCTCTGTCATCTCCACATGACAAGTTAATGACTCGAGTGTTGGTTTTCTGGGACCTGAAGAGATCAATTGATTTAGTTAATGCTGTCTGGCGTTTCACACAAACGCTGTAAAAGTTAAGTAAATGAGACAAAAGTGATGTAAAGTAAAAGTACGCGTATGTCCGAATGTAATGGAAAACTGCACTAAACTCTTGGCGTACATTTGTTTGTCTGGCGCTTTTCACACGTCTTGGTTTAAAATATGTCACCCATTAACAACAAATCATAACAAAGAGCAAAAAGTTTATCCAGAACACCACGGCTGTTGGGAAAGAAGCCCGCGCGGCGAAGCGTCGCGAGGAACACACACTGCCCATCATGGTTTCAGAATGGGTTGAGCAACCAGTGTCCCTGGTTGCTCAACCCGTCCAGGATGGTCCCTGGTCCAAACACACACCTGTCCCCACCTGCTGCCACTCTGGTCCCCCACCTGCAGCCACACCAGGCATCAGAGACTGGCAGGTTCTAGTTTTATCTAGAGGAAAGCAGTGGGTACACGTGTGATGACTTGTAAAGTTTTAATGTGTGTAAAACTAAGAGCAAAACTCCAAAGAGAAAGTTTGCAGTTTATGTCTTTATGCAAAAAGAATGAACAACTGCGTAATTTTAAACATAGTTTTGCGGGGAAAAATATGCATTTAGATTTAAATTGGTGCATTTTTCTGATGTTCTTGCACTTTATAAGTCATGATTACTGTGAAATATTGATTTGAAATTACTTAATACCACTTTACACCAGCAGCAGGCTGCGGTCACGTGGTTCTAAAGCTGCAGGTTTGAGTCCAGCTTAAATCTCCTATGCAAGTTTGCTTGTTGTGGTGAGCCATGCTGAGGAAAGCAGCTGAAAGAAAAACAACTATACTTTACATTACACCATTTTATACTACTGTACTTAACGTACATATATTATTACATACATACCTCTTTACTGTTCCTTACTTTATACCAATTTAGACCACTTTATATTACACTTATTTAACTCACAATACACCATTTTATTTAACTTTATTCCACCTTATATTACCTTACTTTACACGGCCTGCACCATTTTATAGCGTAGTACTTTACTTCCCTGTACACCACTTAATGTATCTTTACTTTACACCAGTTTAGACTGCCTTACAAAACACTGCTTTATGTAACTTACACTACTTTACACTGCTTTATTTAACATTATACCACCTTTATACTTGGAAATTTTATTTTACACCTTACTTTACACCGTAACATTTTAAAGTACAGTATTTTACTTCCATATATGCCACTCCTTACTTTATACCAATTCAGCATGCCTTTAACTTACACTACTTTATACTGCCTTACTTTACATTGGTTTATCTTACTTTGCGCTTTAGTTTACGCAACTTTATGCCACCTTACTTTACACTACACCAGTTTAAACTATTGCATTTAGTATACACCACTTTGAACCTTCATACTTTGCACCAATTTAGACTACCTTACATTATGGTTATTTATTTATTTACTTTACACTAATTTATTTTACTTTACACTATGTTACCTTATGCAGGTTTTTTCTTTTGCTTTACATCTTATTTTATGCCACTTTATGCTACCTTTCGTTCATTAATATTGATAACAACAGCCACTAAACGGGCAGTTTTGGCTTCCTGAAAAAAAACACAGAAGCCCTCATGTTTTTAATCGGAAGGGAGTTTTTCCACACCCGAGTAACTTCAGTTTCTTTACTGAATGCATCTTCTGTTGTGTTGCACAAAATATTTTAAGTGGATGTTTTGTTTTCTTGGGAGGAGCCAGACGTCTGAGTGCGTTATGAGTTATTCACAATTCAGCATTCCACATCATATCTGGGATAAATCACAAGCAGTACAAACAATTGATGACATTTTTGTTGTAAATAATCCCATCGTAGTACCTCCATCACATACAGACACACAAAAAGACGGTATATATCAAAGAGTTTGAAATTTAAGTTTGTAACTTTCCCTTATCACGTCTCCTATTTACGTTCTTAAAATTTTGGCAACATTTTCATCCAACTTATTGAGCCAAGCTAGAACAAAAGGGTTGAGTTTAAATAATTAGCTTTACAAAAACAAGTATTTATACAAATCTCCTGTCAGGTGGTCGAATTGCTTTAAAAACAACATTCCCTGTTTAATCAAAACTAGAGCTTATAATTATGTGTAAGAAAACAGTAAAAGAACAAGACATTTTATTTTTTTGTCATCATGTGCTTCACAATTTGTCTGAATATTGTGTGAAAATGTTCATCCAGACTCTCCGGAGGCCGTTAACGTGGACTTTGTATTACCTAATGGAGCATCAGGACCTCTTCGTGAGTTCTGGTGTCGGCTCAGGATGTGCTTGGCTAGCTTCGGTGTCTTCGCCGACCTCTCGGGACCTCTCGTTCTTCACAGAAACACCAGCTCGGTGCACCGACCGGAACGCTTGGAAAGCATCCGAAAAAGAAGAAGAAGAAAAAAAAAAAGGGCAAAGGGGCTACGCTATGTGTGAGTGAGCTTCAGGAAACCAGCAGCTTGTGTACCGTTCCACAGACTGATCTGGACCTTGACCTCAACCTGAACCCTCTGACCGATCCTCCTCTCACCTGAGAGGACTCCTGAAGCTCTAAAGCTGAGAGAAAACTGCCTGATCACTAAGATGTGCGGTGTTGAAATCAAAATATAACAAGAAGAATCGTATTTTCATGGCCTTTGGTTAAAGTAAAAGATTTAATCTAAAATCCCCGTTAGGGCAGCCAGGTGCTACTGCTGCTATTTGTGCTTGCAAATAATTGTTCAAAAAGTGTTTGCATGAATCACTATGAAGTTTGTTTTACGGCACCTTGGCCTTGGCCCGGCTCAGACCTGGTTAATCTTATCAGAATTCAACTTTTATTCAGGCTAAGGCCCTTTAAAGAGCTATCTGCAACAGGTAAGATACTTATTGTTCATAATTGCCTCACAGATCTGTGGCAGTCATCTTGAATCAGGTTGGCTGTAAGCAATAAAACTTAAATTCGACACCA